AAATTAGTTAGCATAAATCAGTTAAATGACGAAAAATTAGGTGTCTATTTACTTGTGACTACGCTGTGTATATGTATGATATTTTAACATTAGTGTATTGCTTACATCTGATATGTGACAATATTAATGATGTTGGGAAAATGGGGAGGATAAAAATAAAACAAGTTACCAAACAAGAAACATAGTAACTGAAGAGATTTTGAAAAGTAGATATCCATTCAGAAAAATAATGAAACTTTACTTCTGGAAGTACTCAGATTATGAGATTTCTTGTTTTGTAACTTCACAGTAGCAGTGATTTTTACCAATTTGTTGTATCTAATAATTAACATGTCTGTGAAGTTTTGTTACAAACTTTTGTTCCACCATCTTGTCTGCACTAGTAGAATTCTTGGAATATTTATTGTCATGGTTTTAACCTACACGATTATCTAAGTCAGATTATTAATCAGTTAATAAGTTATTTTCTGTTTTAACTGCTAATCTGCTACTCTCTTGAGGGATGTCCTGAGGATTGCTTGCAGTGTTATTTGCTAAGATTTGATTCTGGGTCATCATCTTGTTAACAAATTGTAAGATCAAACAGCAGCCTTTCTAATAAGAAAACCCAGGATTGAAGCCCAGCCCTTACCACCACAAACAGTCTCCTATCAGATTAGCAGCTGAAACGTGTAGGATATAAACTAATTAGTGTCTAGTAGTAAAATAAAGTAACTAATTAATATTTAGACTTGTGATTATACTGACATCCAGTTACTACAAATTTACCAGAAATTCTTCATAAAGTAACGTTTTTCATCAGATGTTAGTCAAGATTTTCATTTATCTGAGGTGCAGGCTGATTTGATGCTAGTTCTTTTATTTTTAACTATGAATTTACTTTTTTACTGGACAGACAGGATAGGTTTATATGAATTTCTTTATATTTATTCATTATTCAGATGATTTATTTGTGAGTTAAGTGCAATTTCTTCCTCCATTCTGTGAATTCTGATTGTGGTTTTGTGCCTTACGTTTAAGCATAACTGTTAGAAGCCATTCATCTTGTTTCTTGAACATTTTGAGTTAATGATAAAGTTACAATGGAAAGCAACTTTGTTGCCTTTCCAATGTAACATTAGTATCAACTTCATGGGTTACATACAAAATCAAGAATTGGAAAACTGATCATTAGGAGTTGGTACAATAGTGATTAACTTCAGTTTATTTCTTTTTAGTAATTAATTCTTGGCATAGTTTAACACAAAACTACAGAAATATAAATGTAAAGCACAGAAGAAATGTGAATATAAAAGTGGAAGAATTATAAAAAAAATAACTAAAAATGTACAAATAGGAAAGGAGATGTGTGAAAGTTAGCAGTGTAACAGTAAAACTAAAAATCTGATATATCAAAAACAAGAAGCAGCTGAGTTTCTCTCAAACAGTACAGATATAAATGACAGCACTGTTTTCATCAAGCATTTTCAGATATTTTATTGTTGTCTGTGAAAAACTAATAGTTACAAAAAATGTCAGTGTGATTATAAACAAGTGTTTAGTTGTCCAAGCACTAAGGAATAAGGAATTCCCAAAAAATAATTAATATATTAAAAATGTTCAAAAATTACAAGAGTGTTGCAAAAGAAATGTTCAGTAATATTGATTTCTTATTGAAAATAAATAGAACATGTTTGTAAAATAATTTCATTTAAGATTTGACAACTTTATTTTAAATCTTAGTGAATACCTTCAAGAATGCTTAAAATGTAGAGAAAAAATTTGAAAACACTTGGAATTAGAGTTTTCTAAAGATAGAATTTGTTTTTGACTTTTTGTAATAAAGAATAAATAGAACTTAAGTGTGAAATGACTAAAGAAATACATTGCACTGAAAAAGATAATGAAAAAATTCCTATTATAAAATAATGTTAATTACCCCTCAGTTAATTTTTATGTAAGTCAAGCAACAAATGGTGGTAATCCTGGCTTATTTTATATCATGATCTTTCAATCTTGGGTTAGTTATCACTAAAGTAAATCGAGAGTTCAAAATGTTACACATTTTCCTGAACCATTGTTAAATATCAGAGAAACATCTGGAAAGCCATTGGACAAATGTATGCTATCTAATCACAGTAGACTGTTGTGAATTGGTTATTATAAATATTTTAAAAGTGTTTTTAGCAAAATATGGAACTGCTTCCAAACAAATAATACAGTTGCTCAGGAATGTGGATAAGGTAGACCCTCATCTCCTACATAGACAGACCAAACTAGTGTCATCTATTTATTCTGGCTTATAAAATCAGGTATTTGCAGCCAAAACTAGATGCTTTGTTAGTATACATACTGCACAAAGCAGATTGTATATGCAATGAGGTGTGTCACAGCAAGACACAAAACAACTTGCCTGTAATAGTGCAAAAATGTAGTAGACCAATGACATGGAGCAGTATTTTTTTATTTTTTTAAAGATGAGTTCCTCTTTATAATGAAGTAACAAGTATATTCTTATTTGCAGTGAATAGGATAACATCTTAACCATTGCTGTGTCTGTCAAGTCCCAGATGGTCTGATGAGCCCAGGTATTGGGTGAAAGGCACTGGATATGGCAGTGATTCATTTTACTTTCATTCAGAAGTTATTACTAATAAGCTTGTTTTTATACATGAGTGTAATGCATATGATGGTGATAGAAGTATGGTGTAAGCAGGAATAAGCACTGGTTGCATCTTTATATAATGTTACCATTAATGGCAACAGTATAGGGATTCATATTTTCATGATACCACATGTTAGTTCTGACTTTAGCCTACTGAATAATAATACTTACTCCTACTGTATTTTGTTTTAAAGTTTTTGGGACTATAAGGGAAAAATGTTGCAGCTATCTGTTAAGTAAGAGCATTTTAATATATAATGAGGAGTTAAAAAACATTGTAGATATTATTTGTCTGAAAACACTGCAAGCAGTGTGGCATGATGCACTGTCATGTTGAAGAAAGTACAGTTCTTCCAATTACTATTCCAGATTGACAACATTTGTAGAAATTCATGGTTTATAACAGTGGATCAATTCTAAACCATCTAAGTCAGTCTTGCTCCATGATATTACCCATACCTGTCATATTTTTAACAACAAAATATCATATCTGCAATGTTTTCCAGGCTGCATCAAACTAAAACCCCTTCATCTAAAGCAACAATGGTATGCATTGTTCCATATATATATAAGATGGCTTTTCATTATCCTTCACTCAAGTCACCATCTGAGTTGATACCCTACCTCGTATTCAAAGGTGTGATGAGTGACTTATGGGCTGCTTACTTATACGTAAAATCTATGCTGTATTTACACAACAGATATACTGATCCGCAACCCTGAAATCTCATCCTGGGTAACATGTTTAATGCTAAATATGCATTTGTTTCACAATTCATGAAATTTCAAATGTTCTGAGGAAAGACTGATTGTAGTGGATTTTGGTACAAGTACTTGAGCTGAAATGTTTTTAATACCAGTCCCACTCTTTGAGTTCCTTCTCTCATATACTCTTAACCCTTAGTGTCTACTTTATTATGGTAGCTTCTGATCTTTATAAACCCTACAAGCTATCTATGACAGCTTCTGACCTCTATAAATCCTACAGATTACTTATAGTAGCTTCTGATCTTTATAAATCCTACAGATTACTTATGGCAGCTTCTGATCTTTATAAATCCTACAGATTACTTATGGTGGCTTCTGATCTTTATAAACCCTACAGGCTACCTATGACAGCTTCTGACCTCTATAAACACTACAGGTAACCTATGGCTGCAACTTCTGGTCCTTATAAACCCTACAGGTTACTTATGGTAGCTTCTGATCTTTATAAACCCTACAGGCTACCTATGACAGCGTCTGACCTCTATAAACCCTACAGGTAACCTATGGCTGCAACTTCTGGTCCTTATAAACCCTACAGGTAACCTATGGCTGCAACTTCTGGTCCTTATAAACCCTACAGGTAACCTATGGCTGCAACTTCTGGTCCTTATAAACTATACA